AGTTATTGTCATTGGTCGTGTGAGGCTATTGTCATTATTGATGATTGTGGCAATATGTGGCATTGAATTATTGAGTTTTCTACAGGATGGGTTGGTAGTAGTACTATTACAAAGGCGACTCTGCAAAAATTTATATAGATCCCGGGGAGTTAAACATTCGAGGACGATTATTTCTAAGGGGGGAAGGATGTTACATTTCGCGTTATCATACGTTAAAGTTTCGTCGTAAGATAATCGACGTAGGCTCGAGAATGAGATTATTTTTGAGGCTATAAGTATTTATGCTATTTATAACAAGTGGTAAGTAAGTACCGTGAAGTTTAGAGGGTAAACAAATAAAAAAAGATGAGTTTCGTTGAAGGTTGTCAATTTGGGATAAAATACGGTCCAAGCTATAATACCCCGTATTTATGGACTAGTGCCATACAAGGTACCACATGACCATAATAGTAAGGTATATAAAGTGTGTTAAAAGTGATTAGTATTTTAAGTAATTTGAGATAATTCTTAATTATGTGGATAATTGGTTAATTATTAATTTTTAGTAGGAGATTAACAATGTAATTGGAAATTGGTGGATAAGTTTGGCGGAAACATTACCCCAACGTGGAAGCAAGGTGGTTTAATTGCTAAGACTAAAAAATGACTCTTTGGCTTTGTGGCTAGGTGGCATATTTAGGGGATATTGGCAAAATAATCCCTACAAAAGTGGGGCCCACAAAACCCAATTATAAGAGATCTTCCAACCTCATTAAAGTGTGATGTTAGGTTTGCTAAGTAACAGATGGAGCCTCGAAACAATTCATATGAAATTTCATAATACTTTAGCAGCGTGAAATTGCGATTCTAGGGAGTACAATACAATCTTTCTCAAGAATATCATGCGGATTTTCCCTACTTCGATCCGCTGTTACGTGTTTTGTCGCGATTGATGTGTGTTAGAGGGATCATCAAGAGAATCGCCTCAGGTATGTTAAGGATTTCCCTTCTTTCCTTTTGGCATGATCCATACGGTACAAACGAAACGAGCAAACGCACAACTTACATAAATGCGTCTATTCATAGAAGCACTAGGGGTGACTATGTTCTTGATTCCCCATATCTCTTATTATTATATCTTCTGTTCATGGGTCTCAGAAAAATACGTAGTTGATAAAATTTATCCGAAGCCATATTGATCTTATGACATACCGAGAAATATTATTATGTCACTTCTTATGCATTGCATTCAGTTATACATGCACATTGACCCATGACTAGATGGCGTTATATACACGTATATATATGTATATGGGGTATGAGGAAAGGTTATGGCATTATATACGCACCACCATATGATAAGTTGGTATACGTTGATGATTCGCCCATAGAGGCCGAGATGATATGATGGGATGCCCTCAGAGTCTTGATGATGTTATATACACACATATGCCTATGCATGATATGACATTTATACGCATATGCATGACATTATAAATATGTCATGATTCACAAAGATATTCAGATTCACAGGTTGAGTCCTTTACTTCATGCTTCTTTTATGTCTTTTACATACTACTTTCCATGCCTTACATACTCGGTACATTATTTGTACTGATGCCCCTATTGCTCGGGGCCTGTGTTTCATGCCCGTAGGTGCAGGTAGATAGGCTGACGGTCCCCCTTTTTAGGATTCTTGATCAACGAGAGTTGGTGTGCTCCACTTGATCCATAGCTGTTATTAGTTTTGGTACGCTATTTTTGTATATAGATATGGGTACGACGGGGCCCAGTCCCGTCCTTTATACAGTTGTACACTCTATTAGAGGTCTGTAGACAGTCATGTATAGTTGGATAGTATGTTGCCTTGTCGGCTTTTAATTTTTGATATATAGTTGTCTATAGTATCCTTGTCGGCTCGTCCTACCGTATTCCGCATGTATATGTATATATGCCTTTTGGACATGTTTACCTCACGTATGTTATTCTGGGATTCAGTAGTTTATTGACAAATGTTATTCATGACCTACCTTTAATTCATGTTTATATCTTAGACGCATGCTTAGGGGTGTTCGACAGGTAGGACTCAGGCACTCGTCATGGCAAACCGGTTTGGGTCGTGACAAGTCATAACATGTTATATCTCTCATTATTAATATACTCTTATATGCTCTATTTGACGTTGTTAGCACTTGTTCTACCTCTTACTTGTTATTTTGCTTTTATACGCTTTAGTTGAAGTTATTGCATTCCTTATTGTCTTGTTACCTCTTAATTGTTGAATCACTTTTAATTGAAGTTGTTATTTCGTGGAATATCATCTTGTTGAGTTATTGGTGTTAAAGTTGAAATTGTGGTTATCACATTGTGACGAAGTTGTTAATTGTTGAGATACCTTTCCTTATTGAGCATTCTCATTCATTTTGTTATTGTTGAAATTCTTGTACACATTGTGGTTGAGCCATGGGATATTTGTTGTGATAATATTGAATTGTTCATCTCTTCCATGATTATCTTCTTATTTTCTACTTGCCCTAACTGTTTTACTTGCATACCTTAACTGTCACGTGCTTTATTTGTCCTGTTTTTTTTTTTTTTTGTAATAGTTATTGTTTTCTTTTACTACTGGATTTGTTGTTGTTGTTGTTGTTGTTATTGTTTTATTTGTTGTATTCCTTTGATTATTATGTGGTTCCTTTATTGCCTTGCACCCATACCTTTTGAATGTAGAAATTCTTGTAAATTGAGTTATTGGATTGCTTATGTTTATTAAAATTATTTGTGGATCGGGTTGCACGCTGAAACGATTGTGATACGGTGAAATAAGGGATTATGATATTGATTAACGATGATATGGTGGGATCGGGTTTCGCGCCAGAACGGTTTGTGTACATAAGATTCAATATTGATAAATGATGATATGGTATAATAAGGGAGGAATATGATATTGATTATGATGATATGGTGGGATCGGGTTGCGCGCTGCAACAAATTGTATACGTGATATTTGATATTGATAAATGATGCTATGGTGAAACCAGGGAGGATTGTGTTAGATTTCAGCATTTTTATATGAAATTACGAGGTTTGTTATTCTAGGCTTTCTGATAGTGAGGTTGAGTTCGTTTTCATAAATCTACTATTTTACTTTCATTTCATGTTTTCTTTCCCTGTTTTTATTATTAAATTACGTGGAGTCACTATATCATGTTCTATTGAGTTGTTGGTAACATAATGGTTTAAATAAAAGAATTATTAACATGCTTTATTCGATGTGCCCCTTAAGATAGAACTCGTTATCTCACTCGGTGCCTTATTATTCTAAATGTTTATCACACTTTTACTATAATTGGGTTTTCAAATTATACTCATCATCCTGTTAGATGCTTACCTTACTTGAAATTGTTATCATGTTTTTCTTTATCAAATTTTATAATTAATTCGTTAATTTAACTTATGTTTTGCTTTGTTTAAAAATGATACTTTTACTCAATTTTATTGATTTCTAAACTAGACCGATCTTATACTCTATTTCGTACAAATTGTATATTATTTTACTTTACTTTATTTCTAAAATAAATTCATACCTGAAGCCCTGCACAAACAAACTTGCGAAGATACTTAAACGAAAAAAGACGCAAGAAATAAATTAGCACAAAACACTTAAGGAAGAAAGAACGCAAAGATTAAAAGTTGCATAAATGTTCAAACAAAAGAACGCAAAAAGACTCATGCAATACTTGAGCAAAAGATGTTTTTATTCACAATAAAAGTGCCAAAACGGCACATGTACAAAAGTTGGGAAAAGAAATAAAATGATAAACTGCTGCATCTCCGGAACCCGGAGGAAGAGAAGCATCTGCGCCCCCAGGGGAAGTGGGTAGATCTGCCGCCGGTTCGATATCTTCGCCTTCATCATTTTGGCCCTCAACATCGTCACCTTCCGGTTTCTCTCCAGTTCCTGAGAACTCAGAACCAGAACCAGAAGAATCAGTAGCATCAGGCCTGGACGGAAGACCTCATTTTGCGGCTAACTCCAACTCAAGGGCCTTAGCAATTTCGGTGTCAAAATCTATGACACCCGCTTTGGCCTCTTCCAAGGTTTTCTCCTCATGCTATACATAGAATGCATTTTCTCAAGAATGAGGGAAGTAGCTCGGCACTGAAGTTCCTCTTTAAGTTGGTCAACCTCGGCGGAAAGATTCTCCAGCACGGATCTAATGGACCGGAGACTAACATCGAGATCACAGACAGTAGAGCTGAAAAGTTTGTTATGCTCGATGATCCTCTTATACTTCTGCTCCAATTGGGCATATTTCACCACGGTAGCAACAAGCTCTTATACTTCTTCAGTTTTGGAGTTCAAGGCTGCCTCCATATTATTTTATCATTAAGCGTAGGCAGCCTCACGATCGGATGCAGCAAGAACAACATTATGGACTTCAGCCCATTTGGCCTTAACCTCATCAAATTGAACCCTCAACGGGGAGATCTCTTGGCTAAGGGTCTCTACTTCTTGCTCACTTTGTTGGAAACGAGCCTCCAACATAACAGCCTCTATATCTTTGGCTTCCAGTTCTGAGAGGCGAGCAACAGTTTGGTCCCGCTATACCAAAAGTTGATCCCGCTCGGAGGTAAGTTCTTCCTTTTACCGAATCAACCTTTGGAGGCCCTCAGAAGCAAGGAAATTGGCCTACAAAACAAGAAAGCCAAACTCAAAAATAATACTAAATCAAAGGTAGGAGAAATGACAAAGAAAATGAATTAGATACCGATGCGGCATTGTGCATAGCATTGTCCAACAAGCACTCTCCCGAGAGAGCCTGTATCTTTTCCGAATCTTTTTCTGAAGCAAAAAGTTTCAGATAGTTAGCAAGTTCCATCGGCAGGGATAACAGATTGCATCTGGTGGAGACCGAGAGAGTAACGCTCCTCCCCCTTTGTGGATCTTCTAAGGGGGTGGCATAATTTTGCCCAAAATTCTAATGAACTGGGGACTAGGGAAGAGAAACATCCTCTTCTCAGACAGATGCGACCGATGGAGATGATGTAGCAGTTGCTGGTGGAAGAGTTGGTGAAGAAGGTGATGAAGCTGATTGCGTTGAAGGGTGAGATGCAGATGCGACAAATGTAGTGTTGGTTGCTGGTTGCTCATCAAATGAAGACGGCCGGGGCCCGGTACTCACCCTCACCGTACCGGGCGTATCGACTTGGATCGGGGAACGGGAGTTGGCATTTTCTACCATCTCAAACTCCCCCCAGAGTACCGAGACATCATCCGCGGTTGCTGCAACTAACTCAAAAGGTTGAGCATTATGTTGAGTTGATGAAGATCGTCGTCTTGTATGTAGAGAAGCCCCCTCATCACTGGCTTGTTCATCATCGTCAACCATCATGGTATCTATGGCCGGCACGGGTGGAGGGCTCATCACCACGGCTTCCGGAGATGACTCCGGGGCGGCATATTTTGCCCTTTTATTCTATCCCCCGACCTCGGAGAAACGCCTTTTTTTGGTTGCTTGTTCTCCGGCAGGGGACTCCGAGAAGAAACACTTGCACCCGAAGCAGGCCCGAAGACGCATGTTCGAGTAAGTGCCTCCTGAAGCAACCTCACCGCATCAGCAGGATCAGCCAAAACATCCTCCTCGGGGACGACAACCGAGCCCTGGGGTAGACCTAAATTCGACAAAGAGAGAAAGATTTGATCAATCTCCTCATAGAAAAAGCAAAGACGAGATGAGTCTAAATTACCATGATTTTTGGCCTTCCACCCGTATTTAAGGGCCAGTTCTTTCCATGTGCGGGTTTCAGGCGTAGTGACGTCCAAGATTTTCTGGACCCACTGGTCCAAACCTTCAACCCTAGGTGGAACCCATCGAGTTGCTGAAACAGGCAAAACAAGGAGGGTCAACAAGGATATGAGAAGATTTTTTATGAAAGAAATATCAAACAAGGAACTTACGAGTGCGGTTCCATGATTGTCAAAAGAATGAAGTCGTAATTGGAATGATATCATTGGTGGCAACTGCGACGAACCGTTCCATTCACCTACGATCATTGTCATCATCAGTAGAGCATGGTAGCCGCATTTGATGAAGTTTACCATTCTCACACAGAAGATTTTAGGGGAATAGAGGTTTGTCACGTGAGCTAGGGATAGCTCCTCTCTCGTTTCTTGGCACATGTGCCGAAGACAAGAAATAGTCCTCCACACGGAAGGACTTACTTGATCCAAACACACCTGATAGCGGAGGCAAAACTCCGCAATGACGGAGTCAAGCTCTCCACTCAGAGAAAACGCTCCCAAAGTAAAGGGATACGTGTAAAAGTATGTAAAACCCTCCTTCGGTAGGGTTACCCCCTCCACCAGATCAGGAACGATAATGTCTAATTCCTGGCAACGACAATCTTCCTTCACCGCATGAATATTGGAAGGACGGATAGAATAAGGATATCTGCCAACGACCCATGTACGAGGGTTAGAAGAAGAAAACTTCTCTTCAAAATCTTTTATGGTAGTCAGGTTCTTTGGGAAGATGGTACTCATAGTAAGGGGAGCGACATCATCGGCGTTGCCTATGTTCTTCGAAGAACTAGGTTTTGTTGAAGAGGAGGCCATTTTTTATCAGAGGAAGGGTTTTTTTCTCTCAAAGAAGGAAGCTAAAGAAAGGTTAAAGTCGAAAGATGAGTTGAGTAAAGAAAGTCTTAGAAAATTCAAAGTGTTACGTACTATAAATGAAGGAAGTTGATGTGTAGAAGTGAAGGTATAGGCGGCTAAATTCGTGGCCATAATTACCTTGATATCCGATAAAAATTAATCTAAATCGCGGGATGACGCGTGTTCGGGGCATTAAATGAGAAGAGACGTGCGTCTAATCAACCATCAGAAATTTTTCAGAGGGAATCAGTAAATTTTCTGCCAAAAAAGAATGTTTCTACCAACTTCACGCTGACACAAAGTTATGCCACTGTAAAGCATCGGACTATCTGTATGGGGTAAAATATATTATATTAAATGATCGAGTGAGAAAGTGACACGTGGGAGTCAAAGATATATGATGACTGAAACCGAAGGCAACCATTTTGTCTGTTGCCGGAGATAATGATACTCATAAAGATGAAATAAATACTTGCCACCCAGTAGCATTTAATGAAGAATATTCTACAACATTTAGTATATTGCCCGTTACAAAAGAATATGGCATTTATGCCCACCGTTACACATTCTTCAACAGCCCTCGTAATTGGCATTGAAAAGAGGCTTGATCCTAGGACCTTATTCCGGTGTAGCTATAAATAGTTAGCTCTATTATCATTGTAGGACACGAACTTTCTAGCAAACTTACGCTATAATCTATTTCAATGCTTAATACAATTTTATCTTCTCGCTCTTTGAACTTATCGATGTTTTGCCCAGAGACCTTGCTCCTAGAACCAGGGGCGGATCTATGTGTAAGGGATGGGGTGGTACGCTACTCGCAAGGTTTGGCCGAGACTATGCAATAGTATATATAGATGCATGTATATATAAAAGGAATGCATACAAATAATTTAAGTGGCACCCCCAGTAACAAAATGATTCAAGGTGACACTGGAAAGGCACTATCATTTTCACCGCTGCGGCGGGAGATCGAGTCCGGCTTGGCACAAAGTTTTTAGAAGCCTTTCTTTGGTGCATTTAACCGCTACAAATTCCTTTGTTTCTTCTTTGGTTTTATTAGTTCGTTTTTTAAAATTTCTTTTCTCCTTTTAATACTTTAAACATTAAATATAAAATATATATTAAAAATCTTTCATAAATCTATTTTTTCCTCGTGACAAAAAAATCCCCACTATTGCGCTTTCCCAACTCCTCCATGATTTATGAATAGATGATAAAAAAACTTAATTTTTTTCTCCAGGAGCACAACTCCGTAAATCTATTTGCCGAAACCAAAAAATATAAATAGAAATCCTTGAATAAGTTATGGTTCTAATCAAGGATGAAAGTTTATTTTGTTATCAAAATACTCTAAAGTAGGACAATTGTATATAATATCGAGTGAGCTTAATTTTTATAAAAAATAGTAAATTGAATAATGTTTGTAAACTTACTTCTGTTTTAATATTTAGACTTATTACTATAAGTTTTTGCCTCGAGTATCCAAATATAAATTGATAACTAGCCTTTTTCTTGTACAAAATATATACTCCAGTTGAATCTTATGTTTTTTTTAAGTTATTATAATTATTATATTTTTTTAGCTCGATCAATTTGTCTATATTAACCTTAAAAACAAATAACCCGAACCGAAATCCAAATAAACCAAACCGATTAAATTTATACCCTATTTAAATAATGTAAATGTAACATGGCTATGTTCAAAATTTGTGGCACCCAGAGCCTCTAAATCCTGGATCAGCCTCTGCCTGGAACTACTGTTTCTGCTATTTTATTTCCTTCTCAAGGCTAAGTACTGCATATTTGTTTAATTCTTCTATTATTTTAGTATCAAATTAATTCACTTGTCTAGAAACCACGTATATATTCAAATGTATCGTTTTTCGGGTAAACGGGTATACCTGCTTGACGTTCGCAAGCCTCGGAGTCACCATCTTACTTCATTATGCTACTGTTAAATTGTATTCCAAAACAGTAATGTGTTAAAAATTCTAGTGTGTTTTAGTAGTGCTTATGACTTCGTACTATCGATTTTTTGAAATGTATAACTATTGGCTGCTTGCAGCTATGTATGTCATTCAATCCTTTATGATAAATGATTAATAATTCAATTCTGTTATTAAATCAGCATGTGTTAGAGAGGGAGAAAACCTTAGAAAATTTTAGAAGAGAAGAAGAAATGAGGGAAAAACCCGTTTTAAGATCTGGAAATTAAAGGTACCGACCGACTTCGATCAGTTATCTTTAAAAAAAACCAAAATTAATATTTTGGGTTATTATTTCCTAAAAAATTATAAAATTAAAAAATAATTATAAACTATAAGCACATATTTTATAATTTTTTAGGAA